CAATTCTCACACTCACACTCACACTTCTCACACACCCATAATTCCTCCAAACCCACACCCACTCACATCCATCCTATGCCCACACCTTAAATTCTTTTTCATATGTTTGTGCTTAACATTACATTCTTTCAGACAAAAAGTGAGTCAGTTTCCACACAGTTGCATTGCAGCCTTATATCAAAAATACGATTGGTGTAGAACTTTGTTCCATACATTAATATTTATCAATCACAAAACACAGCGTCATTCTCAGCACATTGTTATGTATTATCATAGTCTTACAGAAAGTCAATTAGTTCAAATGATTGTTTCTTTTACAAGTTGTACTGTAGTTCATATTTTTCTGACTGCATTTTCATATGGACATTATACAATCAGAGCGATGGTAGACATATTTCTACTAACATTTTTTGTTTCTTTTTCTTTTTTACTGGAATTTTCTTTTGTCTTAGCTTATGTATTAAATATTTTTTCATGTGAAATATGTATCAACAAGGAGTTCTATTTATTATAAATAAAATAAAAGAAAATAAAATAAAATAAAACTATTGCATTTTCATACAAGTACTCAAATCCATCTAAGTAAACTTGAGGCAAATGAGGGTGTGGGTGTGGGTTTAAAATTCTACTCTATCTCTACATTCACACCCACGCCCACCCACACCCACACCCACACCCACCCGCTGCCTCACAGACCATGACAGACATGTTGACATGGCATTATGGTTTTTCGAACCAGTGGTTTTCAGATTTGCGGCGTTGTAGGAGTGTGGGTGGGTGGATGTGTCGGTGAATAGACATAGCACTCACACCCACACCCTTATGTTCCAGCTATTTTGTCCCGGGGTTACAATGGAGTCGTGATCACTAGGAGAAGGAAAGGGGTCCCAAATGGGCAAAAAATGTGATCACGTGATTTCTGGGCGGCCTGTAGAATATTTCATGGTTGGTTTATTTCTTTTTTTTTGATATTTTCTGAATGTTTTACTAGTTTTAGTTTATCTTTATTTGTATAATTGACTATACTACATTCTCGGAGAAGGTTTGAATCGACAACGAAGAGCGTTTAATGACCTGAATCAGTAGAGCAGTTAGTAGATACAAAAATAAGAAATAACCTCATCGTGAAACATTTTGTAAACCAGTTCATTTGGTAGTGTTGCTCAATTGTATTAAAAGGCGTATATTCTTCATTGAAGCAAATTGTCCTCAATCACACACAACACTACAATAAAGTACTCTAGTCATTTTTGTAACTAATATTTACTTGTGATCAAATGGGTTCAATATGAAACGGACGGGGGGATGAGACGAAAGACTTTTGTCCGGGAGACCAGAATTTCGGCCCAAGGAATTTTCGTCCCGGACTTTCGGCCCGATACAAAATAAATATTAGACTGAGGGTGATTCGATTTCAATATGAAAAAAAATTTTTCCCGGGCCGAAAGTCCGGGACGAAAATTCCTTGGGCCGAAATTCATGTAACTCTTTTGTCCAGAGCTGTACATTAGATTGTCTTGAAAGACTTGTTTTTCTCGCAAGAATTACGTGAAAGATAAACCTGTTTTTTTTCGAATATCCCTTTGAGAATGTAAATATTTTTGTAGTGCAGGTTCAAATGAACAATCTAAATGCTTTTCTTATTCTCTTTTTTGATAAATAAGTTAAGGCATCGAATTTTCTAAAACATCTATTTAAACCGAAGAAAAAAATTATATTAGAAATTTCTAGTCTTTTTGTATAATTTTGTAAAAACATTCTCTCGTATTCATCACAATATAAGCTTTATGGTAAATGTGAATATGCGCGATTGACAGACAATAATCACACGCACATCCACAGCCACACCCCACACCTAACGTTTACATCAATAAAAAATATCAAATGTTTATCTAAGTGTCAATTGGATAAAATAAAAAGTATAGCTCTTGGAATATCTTGATATTACGATATATGTTGAATCGAATAGAACAAATATATACATGGAATGAATTTAATTGATAAATTACTTCGGGCTGACTAGATGCAGCTATTTCTTCTGGTTTATCAATCTAATATAAATAAATCAACGTTTCACATATTATTTGTATATAGTGTACCGACAAAATGAATCTATACTAGAAGCCTGGATGTCAAAAGATCAAATTTTCCTAAGAGTTTGTAGTGTTTGAAATCTAGAGATTAAGCCCACCTCCTCAAAAGTCGATCAATCGTGGGTCGAGTATATTTAGATGGCATGAAATTTTCAGGATATATTGGATCCATAGTGGAAAAACTATGCTAAACTTTTCAACTCTATACCGTCACGTTTTCGGGAGATATTCAACCAACAACGCTCAAATATAGCCTATTTGGCAATACAAAAATCTGTGTGGGCCTTCATACTATATATTTAACTTCTTATTTTGTTTGAAAGAGCATGTCAAGATGCAGAACATGACAGAGCCATTGCATTTTTAAATTCTTAATTTTTAAGCGAAGGAAAGATATGATAAGTTTAATACTTCAAAAAACTCAAAAAAATGACGCGCTTATTATACAAATACTTTTTTTTTTACTTAGGTCTGACCAAAAGTTCTGTCATCATTAAATGAAAATATGAAGATAAAGAGATATTTTTAATTTTATCTTATCAAGTGTTAAGCATAGTTGCCAGTATTATTTATTTCAAGATCAACCTTTTCTAACAATTAATTAAATATGTTTTTGAACTCTTTTTCTGAAAAATTTTTTAGCTACCTTGGAAACCGCATGAGCACGTCATATTTCATTTATTTAATCAGTTAAACTACGCCCAATACAATTACTTAATCATAGATTACGTAGTACCAGATCTGACGAACATGGTAGATGTGACATTATACTGATGTCTCCTTCTGTGAAATAATTAATAAAATTGAACGAGTATGAAGTTAATGATGATCGTCAAGCAATTTTGGACATTTGGAACCTGATGTCTCTGCTTGTTTTCATATTACATTAACAAAAGGCTTCAGACAATTTTTAATATAATACTTGTGACCTACAGTCTTGCCTTTACCTACATTCAGGACTATTTGACTTAAAGAATATACAAAACAAAGTTTTTGATTCAAATCCGTCTCCATGAACAATAGTCTTTGACGATTCATCTTCAATATGCCACCTAGCATTAGATGACTTATAACTAACCTATCTAAAATAAATCCATATCTCATCACTAGTAATGCTAGAACGCAACTGATATAATCGAACAAAATTTCGCTAAATTTTTAAAACAAATGAAACATGATTAGCTCATACAGTTTCCAAGGTAGCTAAAAAAAAATTTTCAGAAAAAGAGTCCAAAAAAACTTTTAATTAATTGTTAGAAAAGGTTGATCTTGGAATAAATAATACTGGCAACTATGTTTAATATTTGATAAGATATAATTAAAAATATCTCTTTATCTTCGTATTTTTATTTAATGATGACAGAACGTTTAGTCAGACCTAAATATATATAATGGTAATGAAGCTTAATTCAAAAAAGTATACATAGAGAAAAAGCGAAAAAGCTTTTCCAGTTTTTCTGAAAGAAAGGCATATTTTTCAAACAGAAAATGACGAAAACTTTTGGAAAAAAACGAAATGCTACATAAAAAATCATGCTATTTATAAAAGATCACAACTCCGATCATCTTCCCATGCATGTATCTTAATTTTCATTATTTTTTTTAAGAGCGAGAGACCTTGTATAAGCTGCATATCTTCATTATTAATCCTTGTTTGTAACTAACGATATCAGATGTAAAAATATGAGTTTTAAAATCATTTGTTTCCCTCTAATTATATTTTATAAGAAACATAGTAAAAAAAAATACTTTAGTGTTTAATTCTACATGAAAATATATGCTGATATCAATGTTAATCATAGGTTGTAGAAAAAAAAAAGAAACTTCAAATAACATTTATATTTTATTGCATGATTACAATCATCTGACTCTGATAAAATATAGAGATAATACTCAATAAAAATTGATGAAGATGACATTCTATTTTCATTTTAATTTCTTGTCTGAATCAAAGTATGATAGATGAAGAGTAACTTTTGAAAATATATTTAATTAAATATATTTCTTTAATCATTCATTTAAAAATGATTTATTTATTATGTGAATAAGTTGACAAATTTTTGCTTGTCAACTTAGTTTGATAATCTTCACTTTTGTATGAAATTTCAACTATAATTATTCATTCTATCTGCATATCCTGTTCTTTTTTGCTCATTCCATTTACGATTAACCGTTGTTTAAGCAAAGAAAAAAAAACCGATACATAAAATGAAAATCGAAAGAAAAAAATAATAAAGAAAAGAATATTAAATATTAAACCTACAGATTCATGTCAGAAATCATTTTATATGCGTAAATATGTATAAGTATTTCATTAAAATATACGACTGATATTTGTGTATTTTAAAATGAAATCTATATAGATGCCTTTAGTCTAAAGTAATCATCATTTTTTATATTTGATTATCATACAAAGAAGATGTTTCATTTTCTTTCGATAATGATGCACTTAGCATAATGAATTTTATTTTAATATATTACATTTATTGTAATTTCTTAAATTATGCTATACTTTGTATATTATCCAGATTTGTCTTACTAGAAATATTCAATTATTTTAGTTTTTTAGATTAAGTTTTTGACTTAAGAGAAAAAAGAAGTTGACATCATTCTGTTAATTTCTTTTGGTCTTTCTCATACTTTTTCTCTATCTCTCATTCCATTCTTTTTTTTCTCCTTTTCACTGTGTTTCTCAATGTTCTAATCAATGAAAGATTTCTCTCTTTTCATGTTCTCTCATTTTTTCTTCGACTTGTAGAATAAATATCTTTAAGATTATTTCCATCGTCTTTATTATATCCTAGTACTTTCATAAATATAAGACAAATTTGAAAATTTTCTTTCTATATACACATACAACGAACGCCAATATTATATAATATAACATAGAAAATATATATTGTCATCATGTTGGGTATTGGAAAACGAACTTACAATTCATCTGTGACAATCATTTATGCATTTTTATTTATTCTTCTTATCAATCAATTTCTTATCGTTAATTCATTTCGATTTATGTCTCATGATTTCGATGAGGTATGTAAATTCTTTCGAAACTATTAATTCGCTCGCCTTTAACATACACAAACAAACAAATAAATTTTCCTCTTATCTCGACTAACTGAAAGATAATAATTCCTTATTCACTTTCATTACAAACTAGCATGAATATAATCATATCACCAAAAATCTTGAACTATATAATCATTTCTGTCTTAAGAGATTCTGTAAAAGACAAAAAAAAGAGATATGAGACTTGTCACGCATACAGTTCTTGTGCTGGATTCGAAAGAAAGACGGTATATAAAGGGATAAATGAGAAATTTCACAAAAGTTGTCTCAATTTTCCTGAGTAATAATGAATAATTTTCAATTGTTGAAGATGCGAATCCCTTTAGGCTACCACCTATTTTAACGAAGCTTGCTATCATGTCGACAATTGAAGAAATCTTGCGAATAGATCCATATGGTTGAGATATCGAACAGTATACATTTAATAGAAAGAAAAAAACTTGAACATACTTCTCCAATCCAACATTGCATCGACAATGTATAGGAATATGTTTTATCATATACTTTTACATGAATAATATTTTTTTTCTGTTTCTTTAATATATATATATATATATAGTACGAACCGAACGATGTAAAACGGGTAGTTAATCCACCATTGGTATATGAAGACATTGCGTATCCAAGTAGGAAGAAAAAATCCTATTCATTATTTTGATTAATCTTATTTTGTCTTAAAGAAAAATCATCATTCAATGATTATGATTTTCCATTATTTGTAGAACCAAAAGTTGAACGTAAGATTTATTTTTGTTTTTTTCAAATTAATTAATCATTTTTTGTTTCTTAAAATATTTTCATTAGGTCGATTCTGTTGTATGAGTCCATTACTCAGTGGTCGAAAACGATCAATACGAGATTTAACAAAAAAACAAATTGAAAGTTAACAAACATAATATTTGTTAATTGATTAAACAAATAATTCACATATGTTGGCTCATTATCATACATGTTCTCAAAAATAAAAAGAATAAAAAATTGAAAATATTTATTTCCTTTTTATTTTCTTTCATTTTAAAATTACAGTAATGTTCAACAATTGAGAAATTCTCAACGAAGTTATGATGATTCTTCAAAGAAATGAAAATTAACCATTAATCCCATAACAGTTTCGTCTTTTATAAAAAACTAAAATGATTCTTTTTTCTATTCACAAATTCTTTGGCGAATATAAATGTGCGAACCAAACATCTTATGGATACTGTGTTTACTTTTTATTTTAGCAACTCGGGAACTGCACGGAAATTGAAAAAGAATTCATATTTCTTAGTCGTTGAACACTACTCTTAAAATATTATACATTTCAATAAGCACATGCATACAAAACAAATATACAGAGACTGGAAAGAAAAAAAGAAAAATAATATTGAAAAGATGACTGTTTTTGTAATTTTCAGTTACAAACAAAAGCAAATGAGAAAAAAACAATAAATAATAAAACTTCAAAATAAGAGATTGAAAACATTTAATATTACAAAGAAAATATTCGATTATTGTAATTACAAATAAAGAGATTGCTTGTATCAAACCAGCATTTAATTATTGAATTCATATTGGATCTAAAAGATAATTATTGATAATCAATAATGTTTTATATTTAGTGATGAATAGAAACAATCTTTTTTTTTCGTTCTCGGGACTCATCTTGATCATATCTAATTATATTTATTAAACTTACCAATAATATTAGTTTTTCTATGAATTAATTCATATGAACTTCCTTGTTCATTTCTTTCTTTTAATATTTGATTATTTTCTTGGATTTTAGCAAAATTAACAAATACATCATCAAGTGTTATTTGTGTAATAGTATAATCTTCAATAAGATTTTTTAATTGATCACGTGCTTTTTCTAATATATTAAACATTTTATGTAATGAAACATTTGTTGATACACGAAAATGTATCATTTTATTATGTTCTTCTTTAATAGTAGCTTCTGGTATATATTTTTGAATATAATTAATAACAATTTTTCTATTTGTATCAATATTTGTTCGAATAAATATTGTATAACCATCACCAAATCTGAATCAAAAACAAAAAAACAATTATAAATGAAAAATGAGGAATTTCATTTACTTTTCTTTTAAATGTTGTACACTACCAAGACATTTAAATTCTCCATTAACCATAATAACAAGTCCTAAATACAAAATTTTATATCTCCTTTGTTTTTTTTTCTGACTAAATAGTTCTTACGATTGCATAATGTTTCACATTCTTCCATTGAATGCGATGTTATAATAACTGACTTTTTATCTTGACGTGTTAATTTTAATATACAATTCCATAGAAAACGTTTTGCACGTACATCCATTCCTGTTGTAGGCTCCTAAATATTATTAGAATTTTTATTTAATTTAACACAATATCTATTTAATAAGATTTAGTCTTGATCGGTGGCTATGAGTTATTCTCTGATATATCGAATAAAAATAATTTTACTTCATGACAGAACTAAACATGAACGAGACCAATCGTTTTTAGTTTCGGATTCTGCCAAATAAAAAATTTGATCCGAGTCTCGGACTAACTTGTTCATGTCTAGATAGAACTCGTCATGTATATTGTGTACTTCAATGAAATTTTTGATCTTTCGTATAAGTAATTTCAAACATAATTGCAAAAGAAACTTTGAAGTAGTGAGTAGATGTTCTTTTAATAAGATTGTATCGAATGTAAAGTAAATATAAGAATCTAATTATTATCGGAGTATTTTCAATTAAACTTACATCCATAAATATGATTGTTGGATTTCCAATGAGTGAAATAGCTGTTGATAATTTTCGTTTATTTCCACCTGAATATTGTTTTACTGGTCGATCAGCCCAAAGTGTAAGACCAAGTCGTTTTAATAAGCAATCAGCAATCTATAGAATATTATGCATATGTTTTTCGAGAAAGAAAAAAAAACTTCGAATTTACAAATGGAATATTCTTTTGTTTAATTCCACATAATCGAGCATAAAAATAAAGATGTTCTCGTGCTGTTAATAACAGATCAAGTGCATCAAATTGTGGACAATAACTAAAAAAAAAGCAAAAATTTTAAATAAAAAAAAAAAATCTAAATCTATGTTACCCAATATTTTGTCGAACATCATCTAATTGTTTAATAACACTATAATTATTAACATATGCATTTCCATCTGTCATTGAAATTTCTCCAGTAAGCATTTTAAATGTTGTTGATTTTCCTGAACCATTTATACCTAATAAACCAAAGCATTCACCTTGTTTAACACCAACACATGTTTGTTTAACAGCTATAAAATTTTTACCAAATATCCATCCATAAACCTATTACACCAAAACAAAAAACATGATTCATTGAAATTTGTCGTAGATTGTTTTTTTTTGGTCTGTTCTTTACTTTTACTAAATCAACCATTCGTAAAACATCGTAACTTGTATTATTAGGATCAGAATAAATTCTTTCTCGTTCAGCAGCAACATCATCATCTTCATTAAGTGATTTTAAATTTTTTGGTGTACGAACACAACCACTATTATAGCAAAAAAGAAATAATAGATTTAAATTGAAATTTGTTTTGTTTTGTATTTACCGATCAGGTATAAAAAATCGATATTGAGCAAGAATAGCAAATAGAAAAAAGATAATACCTTGAAGAAATAATGATAATAAATTTCGACCAACAATATCCATTTGAAATGGTGATATTGGAACATAGCCCGAAACTTAAAAAAATTATCTATAAAATATATTTTATTAAATCGAAATATATATAAACAAACCATATTTAAGTCTAAAAACATTAGTTGCATGTATTCTACTCATATCAAATAAACCTCGACCAAGACAATAATGTGGAAAAATAAGAAATAATTTCATTAAAATATTATTAATACGTTTAAGGTCTATTTCATCATCAATAGTTTCTAATATAAATGTTGATATTGTTGTTATTAAACCAATAGATATATTAATACATGATATAACTACAAAACCGGTTGATGGTGTTTTAAAAAAATAATTTATTGAATACATTAACGGTATTAGTGCAAAACCATAGAGAAATAATAATAATAGAAGACAAAGAAAATTTGTTTTATATACATATGATTCAATATTAAATATAAGAAATATAATCATACAAATTGCTATTGATACACAGTAGTTTGTTAAATCCCAAAGAAAATTTCCACACCAATAAGTTATACCTAAATAAATAAGAGAAGGGAAAGGAACGATACATATTGAAATTGATTCCATCGAAAAATATGATTTCTTCTATGTCAAACTATCATATAAGATATTCGAAAGTGACCACTTATGATCGTCGTAGGGTACATTGAACCCTATTGTTCATGACAATCAGCTCTTTTTATCTACTCATCGCATGAGCGATTAGATTAGTTTTCATCTGGTTCGATAGCATTTTTCAAGCGCTCTAAATTGGCATTTTACTAGTATTCAGTAGATTTCGATAAGAAAATTACGATTTGTTTGAAAACTAATATGATATTCTGAATCAATATCCAAAATTGAGTGGATTTGTGTATTTCAAATATTTTCACAAACTGGTTTTTTTCGTCGAGAATTCCACCCTTGGTCTCCTCAAGGTTGGACTGAAAAATAAATTTCGTCAAGAAGTTATTTTTACAGTGAGAATCAAATTCTAAGGTTATAGACGATATTAGAACTACAAATAGCAGATGATTAAACAAGAAAAACAGAATTTTCATGAAATTCATTTTTTGACTCAACCCTGGAGAGACCAGGGGTGAATAATTTTTCGATGAAAAGAAAAGTTTGTGAACATATTTGGAAAACACGAAAGTCTACTCGATTTGAAATGTTGATTCAGAATATCATAGTAGTTTCTATTCAAAACGTAATTTTCTTATCGAAATCTTGTCTCGAGAAAAGTTTCCTTAGGATTTCTTTGTGTGACTACTGGTTTTGATAAGATTGACAATTAAAAAGAGCTGATTATCGTGAACAGTCGGATTCAATGTATATGTGACGGTCATAAGTACTATATGAGTAATAGGGTCAATTTCAACATATATCGATCTCTCGTTCCTTGAATTAAATTTTGATGAACAGTATTAAGAAAAGAAGTATGAATTAATTTACAATCCAATATTTATTGTTACCTTTAAGACCACTAACAAATTGTAAATGTTTCGATGTTGTTATACGTTCATCAATGAGAAAAACAAGAAAACTTGCTGGAATAAAAGCTAAAGCAAATATAATACATATTGCTGTAAACATTTCTAATGCAGAACGACTTTGTAAATCAGTATCTAGTTGACGTTCAGTTTCTGGTAATGGATGATTTATTGTTGTTATACCATAATCATTAATATCAATTGATGAATTATCTTGTAAAAGAAGACCTCTTAATAAAGCATTATTAAATATATTTAAAAATGCTACACTTGATGGCCATCCTTTATTATTATACCAAACCTAAAAATAGAAATATAGAGATTTTATTCTGATATTCAGATTTCTATTTTTTTAAACTCTTATTAATTTTAAACATATAAATTTTATTTAATGAAAAAAAAACAGAGATATTTACCGAAACTCGAGGTGGAAAAATTCGAAAGAGTGGAGCAATTTTCCATGAATTAATCATAGATAATAATTGATTTGTTAGATCAGTTATATTTATTATTTGATTAATTAATGTTTCATTTATAATATCATAACTATCTGACACGGATTGTAATAGAAATTCAAAACCACCAAAACGTTTCATTAAATAATCAATATTATATTCAGTTTTTATTAACCAATCTGTTATATTATATCCTTGTAAATCATATAAAATATCACCTGTTTGAGTAATATCATAATTAGCTGCTGGTCCACCACTACCCATTGGACATGTTTGCATTTTTTCCCAAC